CCCCAACAAAAAAGGAATCTTAAAAAGTTCTCCCTCTTTTTCTTTGCTATTCAAATCCACGGGGAAAAAAGCAAAGGGGGGATCTTAAAAACCGCAAAAGGGGAAAAAAGCCTGTTTCCTCCGGGGGTCCCCATTTGCCCTGCCCCTGTTTTCTCACCGGCACTTTTGAGCCCAATGAGAGTTCCCTGTTTAATCCGCAAGTATGATTCCCCCGAACCCCCCACCCAAGCTTCCTTCCCCAGCTAAGCTTTTTTTCAGAATTAAAGGCCCGAGAAAGAGTTTCCGGGATAAGGAAAAGTTAACGGAGTCCATCCCCCCCAAACCGTTTTTTTATGAAATGGTGAAAGGTTTTCTTTTGCAAGAGGAAGAAGAAGAAAAAGGTAAAGATTCAATTTATTAACACCAAAGCCCCTCTCTCAACAAGTGAATCTAAAAATCAAGTGAATAAATATTCTGATGAACAGAATAAACTGGTGAATATAATAGATTCAGGGGCATAGAAAGGGGGGGGACTGACATTTTTCGGGGGGAAAGGGGTGTGGGGGGGTGCAGGAAGAGACTGGAAAAAAATCTTACCCCTATGGATGAGGACATTGGGGGGGGGGGGGGTAAGGCCAGAGGGTAGGGTGGGAACCCTGTGGAGGGGAGCTATGGGGGGAAAAAAGAGGAACAACTGTAATAATCTGAACAATAAAGATTTAATTTAAAAAAAAAAAGAAATAGTCACACATGTGGACAAAGGTATGTAATGTATAGATATAAATGTATATCTATATACATTTGCAACCAATTAAAATTAAGATAGAACCAGAAAATAAAAAAGCCATTCTACTTTTCCCACCATTATTGAGGTATAATCCTATATAATAAAGCGGTAATATGCAAATTGACCGTCACGCCCTCACAAGATGGCTGCCTACGACCAGGCCAGAAGGGTTGTTAGTGAGGGATGACCAAACAACTGAATAGCAGGCTGCATGGGATGACCAGGCCACTGGGGGGGAGGGGCGGTCCGTGAGGGGAGACCAGGCCTACAGGGGGGCAACTGGGGGCAACCAGGCCAGCAGGGGGGGGCGGGGCAGTTGGGGGTGACCAGTCCGGCAGGGGGGGGACAGTTAGGGTCAACCAGGCTGGCAGAGGGGGGTAGTTGGGGGCAACCAGGCTGGCAGAGGGAGCAGTAAGGGGTGACCAGGCTGGCAGTGGGGGGCAGTTAGGAGCAACCAGGCCGACAGGATGGGGGCAGTTAGGGGCGACCAGGCAGGCAGCCAGGTGAGCGATTATTGTGAGAGGGACGTCCGATTGCTGGTTTAGGCCTGATCCCTAGAATCGGGCCTAAACCGGCAGTCAGACATCCCCCAAGGGGTCCTGGATTGGAGAGGGTGCAGGCTGGGCTAGGGCCCCCCCCCCCCATGCATGAATTTCGTGCACTGGGCCTCATTAATAAATAAAACTGTAAGATATTTAAATATCTTGATATATATGTGTACATTGAGAATTCCTGCCATCTAACACATTTCATCATTCTCTTTGATATCTCTGTAAGATGACACTATTGGCTGTGCATTTTGCTTTGAAACTTTGTTTCTAACTTGGCTAATTATTTAATACTACCTCTTTAACTATTATGTTTTAGCCCATTGCTTCTCCTCCTCATTCTATTCACTATATACAGATATTCTTTCCCAGTTTCTTCCCTTTTGATTTCATTCTTTCCCTTTCATTCTCTCTCCTTTTAATGTACCACCTATATCTTTTATACCAAGAAATTCCATGCAAAAAGCTCAAACCTCTCCCAAGTTCCAGTTCTACATTTTCAATATCCTAATGGAATTACTACCTGGCTTTTAGACATATCTAAAATTAAGCTCATCACCACCATCAAAATGAATTCACCAGTTATACAATGGCACGTTCATTCTCAGTCTCATATCCTTAAAGTCAAAAGGTATCTCACTGGATACCTTCAACATGAGAACATATTGAAGGGTGTATCTAAATACTTTATACTTTAAAAAGGATTAAGACACAAATGCAAATAATAAGGTAACTTAGAAAGTGCTAAGTACAATGGGTATACAGAACAGAAATTAAATACTTATTATTGAAACAATTCCTCTATCTTTCCCTTTATTAAAACCACAGTTAATTCAATCCTCTTTTCAAAGCTAAGCTCCAGTGTCATCTCCTTCATGAAATCATTTTCTTACACCTCTCTTTTGAATGACACAAATATCTTAACTGGTCTTTCAGCTATTTGTATAGTTATCTTACATATTTTATCATATCATAATTGAAAATACATACTTTTTATTTTTCCAAAATGAGATATGTGCTAACTTTAATTTTAGAGGGAAATATAGCTATTAGAATACAAGAGCTCCTAAAATAGTAGGAAAATTATAAGTACCTGAGCAATCACAGCTTCTCGTGTCCCATAATATTTAAAGAATAGATGATCAGTCTGAATATAAAGCTGACAAGTATTTTTTTCAGCTAAAGTTGTACGTTTTTTCCTCAAGAGTTCTGGACCATTATTAACAGCATGTTCTTTAGGTGTCTGTCAAAAAGAGAGTCATTTCTAATCATTAGCATGCTTCACTAATATAATTTTATATAGTATACTTTAAAAACAATTTCATATTCTGCTTTATGAGTAGACATTATAAAAAAATTCATATTATAAACAAGGGTACACATTATAAAATATTTCATATCCTGCTTTATTATGTAACATCATAGACATTTCCCCATGCCATTAAAAATTCTTCATAAACATCACTTTCAGACTCATAACATCTACTGCATAGATGTATTACTTATTCAAGAGATTCTTTCACTTTTACACGTTTTTCAAAATATACCTTTTAATACGTAATCACTTGAATATAAAGCAAGTCTTATAGTAGTTTATAATACTTTGATATCTTCTTCCACCTCACCTCTATAAACCCAATGTATTACCTACCCGTCAAAATTTGTCTCCTAAATACCTAAGAAACCTGTCTCCATCACATTAGTCCAAACTACCATCACTTATAACCTAGAGTACTAGAATAAAAACAATGTAATCTATCCACATCCACTATTAGCCTTTAATGTATTCTCTATACTGTAATCTTTTCAAAATGCAAACTTGAAAATATTACTTACCTCTATAATATATTTCAATGACTTCCCATTGCTTTACGGATAAAGTCCTAAATTCTGTATATGCTATCAAATAAGTACTGCAGACTCTAATTACCTGTCCAGTTTCTTCCCATTCCATATTATTTCACAGAGAGACCCTATTGCATTACCCAACTCTAGCCCTCTTTCCAATCCTCCAACACACAGTCTGTCTCCTGCCAGTCCTTGTACATGCTGATGCTACCTCTCCTGATCTAACATCTTCTTTCAGACTTAGTGAAGGTCAATTCATCCATTATACCACCTCACAAAACTATGTACCCATGTCCTTACATAGAGTAATCTTACAATTTATTGTGTGGTTATTTGATTAATTTCTGTCCCCACCCCAACACCTATTACTTCATGAATTCTAGAAAAAAGACACTTATCTCTGCTTATCGCTATTACAGAGGCCCAGTGCACGAATTCGTGCACGGGTGGGGTCCGGCCGGCCAGGACCAGCGGGGAGGAGGGGACACAGGAGGTTGGTTGCTGGCCCCACCCCCGATCAAGGTTGTGGGGAGCCAATCGGGCCAGTTGGCTGCCACAGTGCACATTATAGCAACCAGTCATCCTGGTCATTCCATTGTTCCGGTCACTTGGCTTTTATATATATAGATTGTTCTCACCTAACACACATTTGGCAGGCAAACTGAATGTTTAAAGAATTACCACTGCAATTGAATCCAAATACTTAAACAATTGTTGACATGTAAAAGAACCATTTTAAATGAATTTTGATGAAATAATAGAAAATTCAAATTAAATTCTTGAGATACGCTTATAATGCTATGAATTTCCCTCTTAGGACTGCTATCACTGTGTCTCATAGATTTTTGGTTGTTGTATGTTTTCAGGTCACTTTTGATTTCTTCCTTGATCTCACTGTCAACCCTTTCATTGTTTAATAACATGTTATTTAGCCTCCATGTCTTTGTGTGTTTTTCAGTTTTTTCCTTGTGATAAAGTCCTATTTTCATACCATTATGGTCAGAGAAGATGCCTGATATGACTTTAATCTTCTTAAATTTATTGAAATGTGTTTTGTGTCCTAACATGTGATCTATCCTAGAAAATGTTCTATGAGCACTTGAAAAAAAATGTATATTCTGCTGCTTTGGGGTGAAATGCTCTTAAGATATCAATTAAATTCATCTGACCTAGTATGTCATTTAAGACCACTGTTTCCTTGTTGATTTTCTGTCTGGAAGATCTATCCAGTCAATGGGGTGTTAAAACCCCCTACTATGAGTTTAATTACTGTCAATCTCTCCCTTTATGTCCATCAGGATTTGCTTTACATATTTAGGTACTTCTATGTTGAGTGCATAAATGTTTACAAGTGTTATATCCTCTTGTTGGATTGCTCCCTTTGTCACTATATAGTGTCCTTTTTTGTCTCCTATTATAGCCTTTGTTTTAAAGTCTATTTTGTCAGATGTAAGTATTGCTACTCCAGCATTTCCCCCTTTCCATTTACATAAATTATCTTTATCCACTCCTTCTAAATAAAATTTTTAAATGAGAAAAAATGTCCTTTATATTTACCTACATATTTACTATGTTATGCTCTTCACTTCTTTGCATAGATCTATATTCCTATCTCTTATTCTTTTTCTACCTGAAGAACTTCCCTTAACAATTCTTGCAGTGTAAATCTCTTACAAATTCTCTCAGCCTGTTTGTGTGAAACAGATCTTTAATTTGCCCTCATTCTTGAAAATTATTTTACAAAATATAGAATCCTAGTTTGGTAGTTTTTCCCCCAGCACACTTTGAAGATGTCATTATGTAATCTTCAGTTTGCACTGTGTAATGAGAAGCCAAAAGTTATTCTTACAGTTGTTTCCCTGGATATAAATGTATCTTCTTTTCTCTAGCTGCTTTTATTTATGATTTTCTCATTTTCAGTGGTTTCCAATAATTTGACTGTAATATGCCCTAGTACAGTTTTCCTTGTGTTTATCCTACCTGGGTTTCATTGAGATTCCTGGGCCATAAATTTTGGAGACATTAATATTTCAAATATTTTTCCTGTATCCGCTGTCCCAGGACTCCAATTATTTTCTCTTTGTGCTTAGATCTGGATAGTTTCTATTTTTTACTGTCCTTTATTTACCCATGTTGCCTTCTGCAGTAAATAATTTGCTCTTAAGCCTATCCATTAAATTTCAATTAAGAAAATGTACTTTTCAGTTCTACAAGTTACATTTAGTTCTTTATTATAATTTCTATTATCTCCTCTTTGTTTTCATATTTTTCTGTTATTCTTTGAATGTATTTATAACCATTATCTTAATCCATTAAATTTCAATTAAGAAAATGTACTTTTCAGTTCTACAAGTTACATTTAGTCCTTTATTATAATTTCTTTTTTCAACTTTTTGTCATCTAGTAATATTTTATGAATGCTGGGCTCTTTTAATGTTACATTATTGAGTATCTGCATTCTGTGTACTCTTTTTTCATTGCTAATCCTCACCCTAAAATATTTTTTCCCATTGATTTTTAGAGAGAGTGGAAAGGAGGCAGGGAGGAGGAAAGAGAGACACATTGATGTAAAAGACATCGATCCGTTGCCTCCTGCACATACCCCAACCAGGGCCAGGGATCAAACCCACAACCCAGGTACATGTCCTTGTCCGGGAATCAAATCCAGAATCCTTCAGTGCTCGGGCCAGCACTCTAACCACTGTGCAAAACTGGCCAAGGCTATGTACTCTTTTAACAAGTATCATTGAACTTTGTTCTGACAGACAGTTAATTTACCTGAAAGTCAACTTGATCTTTTTGGAGTTTGGTTTTTCCACTTAGTTAGGGCAGGTCTCCAGTAGCCTTTAACTCTAGGGTGAAATTAGCCTTACTCTTAATATGGCTTGGGATCTTTACAAATTATAATTTCTAATAGTACATTGATTCCACAGTAGTTTTTCTTTCTCTGGTAGTTTCCTCATAGAATTTCACCCTATGCATGTATAGCTTAGTATTCATCTAAAACTAAATGAAACACTTGTGCAGATATCTGGAGCTTTTTCTCGGTGTAGCTGTCTCCTGTCAAACTCTGCCTTCTTGAACTTTGACCTGTCTCTTCAACTCAGTAAGATTGCTGTGCACTTTTTGCTCTTCGTGAGATCCCCTTCCCTGTGACACGCCTGAAATTTTGCCTCCAGTCATGAAGTCAGGAAAATCACAGAGATATTTATATTTCCCTCTCAACATCGCATCCTGTACTGCCTGCTTCCAATGTTTGAAAACAACTGTTTCATATATTTTGTTTAGTTTTCGTTTTCTACAAGAAAGCTATGTGGATACCCATTATTCAATCATAACTGGAAAGGGAAATCTTTACTTAATATTTTTACTAAAAGTTTCAATGTTTTCATTTTAGACATTTAATACTTTAATCTATCTGAAGTTTTGTTTTAAATATGGTAAGAGATAGAGATCCAACTTCATCTGTTTCTAAGTGGTTAAACATTAGAAAAATATTTCTGGCTCCATTTTTTCTGGCTCCATTTATTCAACCATCTTTACTTTTCCTCACTGATTTGAGATTCTAACTCTACCAAATAACAAAGTTTCACATCTGCATTTGTTTTCATCTCTATGTTAAGATTATACTCTCATTTAGTATAATAATTTTTAATCCCTTCTAGGGCAAATCCCTCTTGCCTGTTCATCACCTTTAGATTGGCCCTACTTCTTCTTAGTCTTTACTTTTCTGTATAGCATTTTAGACCCATCTAAGTGCTGTGAATAACCCTTTTGTAATTTGTATCAAAAATATATTTAATCTATTAATCAACATAGAAAAATTAATATTTTTATGATATACTAGAGGCCCAGTGCACAAAAATTTGTGCACTTGGGGGGGGGGGGGTCCCTCAGCCCAGCCTGTGCCCTCTCACAGTCTGGGACCCTTGGGGGATGTCCACCTGCTGGCTTAGGCCCGCTCCCAGGGGATCGGCCCTAAGCTGGCAATTAGACATCCCTCTGGCAGCCCAGGAGCCCTCGGGGGATGTCCACTTGCCAGCGGGGACCAGGCCAAGCAGCAGTCGGACATCCTTAGCGCTGCTGAGGCAGGAGAGGCTCCCGCCATCACTGCTGTGCTGGCAGCCGTCAGCCTGGCTTGTGGCTGAGCAGAGCTCCCCCTGTGGGAGCACACTGACGACCAGGGAGCAGCTCCTGCATTGAGCGTCTGCCCTGTGGTGGTCAGTGTGTGTCATAGTGACCAGTTATTCCCAGTCGTTCTGCTGTTAGGGTCAATTTGCATATTACCCTTTATTATATGCCTGGTGCATGGGTGAGGGCTGGCTGGTTTGCCCTAAAGGGTGTCCGGATCAGGGTGGGGGTCCCGCTGGGGCCTGGGTGAGGGGCTGAGGGCCGTTTTCAGACTGACCACACCCCCTTCAGGGTGGGGGTCCCTGCTGGAGTGCCTGGCGAGCCTGGGTGAGGGGCTGAGGGCTGTTTTCAGACTGGCCACACCCACTTCAGGGAGGGGAGTCCTGCTGGGGTGCCTGGCCAGCCTGGGTGAGGGGCTGATGGCTGTTTGCAGGTTGGCCACGGCCCCCAGCCACCCAAGCTCCCAGTGGAGGCTGGCTGGAAGCAGGTATCTGGGATTTATTTATCTTCTATAATTGAAACTTTGTTGCCTTTAGCAGAGGCCACAGCCGGCCAGGACAGGCGGGAAGCTTGGCTTCCTCCATCGCCAGGGCAACAAAGCCTCCTGTTTGCTCCAGCTCCATGGCTGCCAGCCGCCATCTTGGTTGGGTTAATTTGCATATAGTCGCTCTGATTGGCTGGTGGGTATAGCTTGTGGTATAGCGAAGGTACGGTCAATTTGCATGTTTCTCTTTTATTAGATTAGCTTATTTTTCCATTAACAAGGTATGTCTCTCCATTTACTTAAAATTAATCTTCTTGCCTGGCCGCAGTGGCTCAGTGGTTGAGAATCTCATGGTTTGACTCCTGGTCAGTGCACATGCCCGGGTTGAGGGCTCAATCCCCAGTGGGGCATGCAGGAGGCAGCCAATCAATGATTCTCTCATCATTGATGCTTCTATCTCTCTCTCTCTCTCCCTTCCTCAATAATAATATATTTATAAATAAATAAATAGCCCTGGCTGGTTTGGCTCACTGGATAGAGCGTCAGCCTGGGGACTGAAGGGTCCCAGGTTCGATTCCGGTCAAGGGCATGTACCTTGGTTGCGGGCACATCCCCAGTAGGGGGTGTGCAGGAGGCAGCTGATCGATGCTTCTCTCTCATTGATGTTTCTAACTCTCTATCCCTCTCCCTTCCTCTCTGTAAAAAATCAATAAAATATATTTTAAATAAATAAATAAAGTAATCTTAACACATCTTATATAGTTTCATAATTTTCCTTAATTGGGTCTTATAATTCTCTGTTACATTTATTCTTCAATACATGATATTCTTGATACTATTAACAATGTCTTCTCTTTTGTTACATTTCTGATAGTCTATTACTGGATATAAAGAAATGTGACCTAAACCTAGGTGGTCTGGCTCAGTGGATATAGTGTCGGCCTGCAGACTGAAGAGTCCCAGGTTCGATTCCGGTCAAGAGCACATGCCCGGGTTGCGGGCTCAATCCCCAGTAGGGGGTATGCAGGGGGTGTGCAGGGGGTGTGTCTCTCTCCCTCTCCCTTCCTCTCTGAAATCAATAAAAATATATTTAAAAAACAAACAACAAAAAGAGAAATGTGACCTATTTGTGTATATTAACTTTATATCTAGCCACTGTTAAACTCTGCTACATCTAGCAATCTGTAGTCTTGTCCTCTCCACATTGCTGACACTTAGTACAAATGGTTTTTCTACTGAATAACTGCAATAACTTCTAATTAGTCTCCTAGTCTCTAATCTTACACCCCACCACAGGGTTAAAAATTATTTACCAGTCTTACTCTCTCTCTGGCCTTTAATATCTCTAATACCTCTGAGGTATGTAGACATATCTCAGAGATATTACAGGTTCGGGACCAGACCACCATCAATAAAGTGAGTATAGCAATAAAGCGAGTCAATCTTTTTGTTAGTGGAGGGTCTTGCCTTCATTTTGGTAAAAAACAACATCTGTGAAGTGCAATAAAACAAAGTATGCCTGTATACTGCCTTTCCACCTATTCATGCCCAACCTCACTCTCACTTATTCTTTTAGTGTATGACTACTGTCCTCAATTACTTCTCAGTTTAGATTAACAATTCCTCCTATGTATAGAGCATCATTCTATACTTAATCCTCTTCTATCCCTTACCCGCAATTGTATCTCTGTGTCTCCAAGTAAATGATAAACTTTTTGAGGATAAGTCTTTGTCTTAATCTCCACATATTTCTAGAACCAGCAGTCTCTGACAATATGACAGATCAATACATAGTTTTTCAATGAATGCAAGAATAAAATCTCACTTATACTTGAAAGTCCCACCTGAAACAGAATTGTTTGTGCATGTTGCAGATCAAGAAACACACAAATCTGCATTTGTATCTCAAGTAGCTCAAGAAACATTACTCTAGCCTACTACTTTTAGAAAGGATGTCTAAACTACATGATAAATGTTTTATCATAAAAATATTTTTTTTCATTTTAAACTTGCTTTGAATTTTTTTTTTAAGAGAGAGGGAGAGAGGGAGAGGGGGTAAGGGGGAGAGGGAGAGGAAGAGAAACATCGATGTGAAAGAGAAACATGGATCAGTCGCCTCCCGCACGCGCCCCAACGCGGGCACAAACCTGAAAACCTGGGCAAATGCCCTGACTGGGAATCAAGTCCACCACCTTTTGTTGTATGGGAGGACGTTCCAACCAACTGAGCCACACTGGCCAGGGCTAAACTTATGTTTTAAATGACTATAAACCTATCCCTTATTACAGGAAAAAGGATATCAAAAAAAGAATAAAAGAACAACAGTCAAATGGCAAAATATCTTACAATTAAAATATCAACAGCACTGTGATTATTATTAGGGTGGCTAATGATCTCAGTTTGCTTAAAGACACATGACTTTCAGTGTTAAGCTGGGAAGTCCCAGTCAAACAAGGGGAAGTTGACCAGTCTAATTTTAATACTAATACAAATAGTTACATTTATAGAAAACACAAGTTCAAACTGATTGTTTTTTAAATTAAGACTCACTATGTTTCGGACATCTGGTGTAATGTTAATGAGACACACAGATTTGTTTTAAATCTCAGCACTATGTCTTTATTATAGGCAAGTTAACTAGCTTCTTTAAGCATTAAAAAATATCAATATTTCTCCAGTGTTATAAATATTTCAGAAATTCTAGAACAAACATATTTAATGCAGGAACACATGCCCAAGTTCATTTTCATTTCTTAAATGCAAGCTAGTATTAAAATCCTTACCTGTGTTACTTCCTCTACACCAGTCATCTGGTACTTCCTCATCCTTTCAAATACTGAATGATCTGCACAGCCGCCCTGTGGACCATATTTATGGGGGTAGTCTAAAACACAAAGAAGAAATATCATTTTTGTCACATGTTTAGGTATTATGAATTATCTTATAAATGAAAAGTTGACTGTCATAAGTAATATAGGAAAAGAAATACGCTAGGCATTCTAATTTTCAAACCTGGTAGGTTCCCAAGTTCTCCCTCAATAAAACATCACTGGTCTCTAGAACTTTATCATACAGATAATTTGTTAATTCTAAAAACAATAATCATTGTTTATTCTGAATTGAACTTTCCCCAGCTTTCCCACTTTGGATATACAGAGCATCTTAATACTGCAATTTCCTTTATTTTGTAGTGTGTAACTTGCCCTTCAAACATATTAAATTCCTACGCTGCAAAGCACAAAACCACCTCAATCTGAACTACAATTAAGCTAATATAATGTTATATTTGGCTTGAATTCCTCCCATGAATACCAACTGGCCTAAGAACCAACCTCTATGGCACAGTAAAAGCAGACAGGGTTTAAATTTATTCAATGCATACTTCAAACAAATGCTTTATAAACCAATAACTATTTTATCACCATTTTTCTCCTTTCATAAGCAATGATTCATTTATCCTTAAATGAGTTGGGTCTATTTCCAGAGAAGTTGTTCAATTTCGTCATTCAAAAGTTTACTCCACTCTCTCAAAATTCACATACTTCTCCATTGTTAAGGTCCTACTTAGTTCATGAACATATTTTATAATTCAATCTACTAACCATAATTAAGAGAATTGTCAAAATAAAATACCAAGACATGGGTGAAAGGAGAAGCACTGAAAAATCCTTAAGTAGCTTACAGAATCAATCCACAGAATTATAATTAGAAACACTGCAGGTAGTTAATTAAGAAAAATCTAGAACCTAAAGTGCATACTAGTAGCCTATTTCATTGAAAATACAAATTAAATACTACAATACAAATCTAAACTGGCATGTAGAAGCTAGGTATTATGAACAATCTATCTACACTGATAAACAGCTCTGATTTTACATTTTAAATTAGTTTTTATCAGGGGTCAAGATTGCCAACAGCTGTAAAATTCTAATCAATCAATGTGAAAGAAATGATAGACTTAAAAGTCACTATTTCCAAGCCGACATACTGATATATTAGTTAATGAAGCAAAGGATCATCAATGGGTGCTAAAACCACTGAGTGAAAGATGGGAGCATATTCATAGTCTCTTAAAGCATAATCCCACAGATTAGTTAATAATTATAAAGGAAAAATGTATCTTTACATCAAAGTGATATATAATAATTACCACTTCATTTACCAAGTGATGAAATTAAGCATTACCAATAGGACAACTTGATATTATGTGCCTCCTACTGTGATGCAGTTAAGAAACATTCAGCTTAACCTATGCAATATTCTTGCCAAAATATGTTAACTGAACCTAATCACGAATAAACAGACACACCAAGAATGTGAAACATTCTATAACAGTGATGGCGAACCTTTTGAGCTCGGCGTGTCAGCATTTTGAAAAACCCTAACTTAACTCTGGTGCCGTGTCACATATAGAAATTTTTTGATATTTGCAACCAGAGTAAAACAAAGATTTATATTTTTGATATTTATTTTATATATTTAAATGCCATTTAACAAAGAAAAATCAACCAAAAAAATTAGTTCACGTGTCATCTCTGACACGCGTGTCATAGATTCGTCATCACTGTTCTATAAGTCATTGCCTTAGACATGTGAAAAAAGGCAATGTCATTTAAAGAAACAGAAAAAGTTGCCCTGGCCTGTGTTGCTCAGTGATTAGCAGCGGTTCTCAACCTGTGGGTCGCGACCCCTTTGGCGGTCGAACGACCCTTTCACAGGGGTCGCCTAAGACTATCCTGCATATCAGATATTTACATTACAATTCATAACAGTAGCAACAGTACAGTTATGAAGTAGCAACGAAAATAATTTTATGGTTGGGTCACAACATGAGGAACTGTATGTAAAGGGCCAGAAGGTTGAGAACCACTGGATTAGAGCGTCAGCTTGAAGGGTCTCGCATCAAGAGCAGTACCTAAGTTGTGGGCTTGCTCCCCACCTCCCATTAGGGCATGTGCTGTAGACAACCAGTCAATGTGAGACACACTGATGCTTCTCTTTCTATCTCTCCTTCCCTTCCCTCCCTTTCTCCCTCCCCGCTCCCAACCTCTATTCCACTCTGAAAAATCAATGAAAAAAATATTCTCAGGTGATGATTAATAAAAAAAATAAAAAATAAAAATAAAAAACTGAGAACTGTGGGGTGGAGGAGCCTGGAAGTTAAGACACTTAAAAGAGATATAATAAATGATATAAATGTATATTTTTAGGGGATGAAACACTTATTATTGTTATTTTAAAAATGTATATATTCTTAGGAGATGTGTGCTGCAGTATTTAGCAGTGGTGGCTCATGCAGTCGGTAGCCTACCTTCAAATGGTTCCCAAAAAAATGTGTTGAGGGAAGTATAAAATGTTTTAAAAAATGGTAAACTAGGGAGAAGGATGTATGTGTTCCTGTATAATTCTTTAAACATTTTTTTTTAGTTTGAAATTTTCAAAATAAAACTAGAACTAAAAAACTGCAATATCAGTAGAACAAGTTAAAATTACTTTGAAGTGGAAAAATAACACAACTGAAATGATGAACATGCCTGGCCGGCATGGCTCAGTGGTTGAGTGTCGCACTATGAACCAGGAGGTCATGGTTTGATTTCCCATCAGGGCATATGCCCAGGTTGTGGGCTCAATCCCCAGTGTGAGGTGTGCAGAAAGAAGGCAGCCAAACAATGATCTTCTCCCATCATTGCTCTATTTCTCTCTCCCTCTCCCTTCCTCTCTGAAATCAATAAAAAAAAATACATATATACTTAAAAGAAGAAAAAACACTAATACATTTATTACTGTATCATTTCAAATGCTCACTTTAGCAAAGTGAAAATATAGTACCATCCCACATATATTTAATAAGAATCTACCACAAAGGCTGGAAAGTCTTACAGTATAATATGCCAAGTTTTTCAATTCTCACCATTTAATTTAGGGTATTATCACCACTCTGCCTTCTTCTGCTACTATAATTTTAACCTGAAAATGTCCCAATGAGTCTTGCCCAGATTCTTAATGGAAGCTAGCTTGCCTAGCCCACCAGTTAAAGTTTCTCCATGTCAAGAACACAATACAAAAACATACTCATAGACAAGTGTACATATGCACTGAAGTTCTTTATTCAGTTAACAGACGTTAGATCTCTTGGAATTTTCCTACTTGTTTTAATCTATAATAATAAAAGCGTAATATGCTAATTAGACCAGACAGCCAAACGACCTTCCAGACGTCATTCTGGATGAAGCCGGGGCAGCAGGGGCCAAGGCAGAGCTGGTTAGTGGCGATCAGGCAGGCAGGCAAGCAGTTAGGGGCGATCAGGCAGGCAGGCAGGCGAGCAATTAGGGGCAATCAGGCAGGCAGGCAGAGTGGTTAGAGGCGATCAGGCAGGCAAGAGATTGGTTGGGGCGATCAGGCAGGCAGGCAAGTGGTTAGGGGTGATCAGGCAGGCAGGCAGACGAGCAGTTAGGAGCCAGCGATCCCGGATTGCGAGAGGGATGTCCAAATGCCAGTTTAGGCCCGATCCCACAGGGATCCCTGTAGGATTGGGCCTAAACCGGCAGTCGGATATCCCCCGAGGGGTCCTGGATTGCGAGAGGGTGCAGGCCGGGCTGAGGGAATCCCCCCCCCCCCCCGCACGAAATTCATGCACTGGGCCTCTAGTTATCATATAAAATCAAGTTCATAGTTTGATATTACTTTGTGCTATTTTACCCAACATTGGGATAGTCCAGTATCCAGCAACTAAAAATGTGGCCAGATTCTTTGGCTAGTTTTTCACTTAAATCATGAATAAGAACATAATTTATCTATTTCTTACAAGATAACAAGGTGAATGAGGAGGAATCCTTCTGCTGACTCTGGCAACAACTAAACAGGTAAGTAAAACATGCTCTAAGAGTACTGATATACAAAATATTTGGCCACAGAAAATGAATAACACTAAGTAATACATTTTCAAAAGCTTATTTTAATTTCTGTTCCAATGTGATAAGCAACTAACTTATGATTCAATTAGTATGTTATGTCCTTATTTTTCCTTTATGGATCAGTTTGTGGTGCCTTATTTGGATTGTTAAGATAATAGTTAAGTTAATAATCTATTTTACCATTTATCTTATACTAATTTAAGTTCAATGAAATAAACATATATTTAACATTTGATGAAATTCTTTGAGTTGAATTAGACATCTCCCAACATATTAAAAAAGGCCTATTTAAACTACAGTTCTAACTTATCATAAAACTATCTTAATAACCTCCATAACCAAATTGCTGTATTTCACACATGAACATGAGCACAGATAAAAGAGCATGGCATCATGGCCCCACTTCCAAATAAAAAAAACTATTTAACTTAGCCTTTCAAAAGAAAAGCCTTGTGGGTACATCATTACAGCCTGTTTTCAGATGACTTCCTCTAAATGCCTATCATATCTGGTCTCCCCATTCCACATGCTTCACCACTACCAAATATTTTTTTTTAAAGGTATATGGGGTTGGGAATAATCTGTTTACAAAATATACAATCTTCCCCAAAACCCCTACTAATAGTATATCAATCATGTAACCACTTCTAAAAATATGTTTTAAAATGTTCAGAGATTTTATTTGAAAAAACAATTTCATTATTGGCAAGGTTTAGCAATCATTGACCAAACAGGTTTCTCACTATCCTGAACAAATCCACACTAAGTTTCCCAGCCTCCCATCCAAGCTAGGTGTACATAACCTAGTTTTTAGTTGAAAAAATATGAGCAGTAGGGAAGTGCACCAGCCAGGGTCCCATATGCTCTTTTTCCCTTCTAAATGGCTGGTAGGAGACAACTGGGAACTGCATTATAGTACAGTATAGCATAAAATAAAGTAACCTGGATTCCTACTCACTTATAGAAGAAA